GAGCACTTTTGGACATCCTCCCGATGTAAAATGTGTGATATAAATGTATATTGATTTCAGGGCTGGTGATTGAGATACTGCTCCTTAGTGCTCAGGCGAGTTGTTAAATACTCCAGGTTAAGTGGAGCCTGCAATGATTTCATACATACAGTGGAAGGTGATAGTCTGAATCCAGCATTAATGTCCTTCCAACATTATAAACTAACCTACTGGCATTCTCCAGCTTGTATCGAAACAGACATATGAAGGATTGTGGGGTTACTAGCAAACATACCTCAGCCTAGTGACAACCTCCAGGAGAGCAAGGGAGAAAACTGAAATGCACAAACTGGAGACCGTATGCAAACTCTGTTTCACAGTACGAGCAAAAGACAAAACAATAAAAGTCACCACAGTAATCCTTCATTGTTTTGAAGTACAAGTGCAAAAAAGGACCATTCAGCTTTCAGTTTGATTATTGCAGCAACGTATGGTATTTGTTTTGTTTGAGGCTGCCGCAGATCAAGGTGCCACACACTTTCCACAAACCAAGTTCAGTCAGAAAAGAGAGTGGGGCGGTGCGGAAAACAGCAGATCAGCAGATTTGACTGGCTGTTGTCATTATTCGGACTATGTTTAGTCAGGAAATTAATCGCACATGTGATAACCACGGTTGCTATCCTGAACAGCAGTAGGAGTTAATTGCAACTTTGTCTTCCACGTGGTGCTGCGAGAGAACATCTCTTAAAATGTAGTTAGAGTGAAAGGAACAGAGGGGGAAAGAAATCATGAGTGAGTAACCTTTTTGTACAGTTATATAAGCTTCTATTTTTACTTTGATGGTTACTGTGCCAGTGGTTAACTGTCAGGCAGCGGGACATTACTTGATAAGGACATTTGCCTGTGTTTATAATGTGTCCTGATCAACAGAGATTTAACGCTCAGATAACTATGCTGTAAGATAAAATCTGCCCAGATCAGCTTTGTCATCAGAATAGAATAGCTTTGTTGTGAAATCCTCTCTGATTTGTGTCTCTCTTTATTCTTCCCTTAATTTCCATGTATGGATGGAAGGCGTATGCAAAACTTTGTCTGGTTTGGATATTAAGCATAGTGATGGGTTTCCGCGTGTGTCAGACACCCGGCAGACAGACAAAAATCCTTTGAAGTTTTACAGTCACGGACTGCATCCACCACTCTGGAATAAGGTTGTGAAGTAATTAATGTAGGCCAACGGACTCCAGAAAGAGAGAGCGAGAGAGAGAGGGAGTAGTGGTTTCACCACAGTTCCAGAGCAATGTAAACTACATGAATCATGACTTAAAACGACCGGGTGTGCGCAAGCATCTGTTTTTGGGGTTGCGTTGCTGTGGAATTCATGTAATGTTGGGAACGTCAGTGATGGTATGACAAGAGTGGTTCCTCAGCACTAATCATAGCAGCAGACATTTTGAGTTTCTGTAAAGTTGTACCTTGGTCTGACCCAGTTTTTAATTTGTTGTTGGGAAGAGCAAGAGATTTAAAAAAAAAAGTTTTGTAAAGCAGGAATGTTTTGGGGCAAATCTAAATTTTCCTAAATTCACGTCAGCACTGGCTCACTCACACATCAAATGAAAAGATTTTTTTGTTATCAGTTGCATGGCGCTGCTTCGAACTGCCTCCTCGCCTTCAACCCAACCATTTGTTTGCTCCCTTTGATATGCCCAGTTGCCCCAAGCTTTTGTCCACATTTCCTCAAGATCTGTTCTGGTCTATAACTTTGCTAAAATAAAAGGTAGACAAAATAGCCACTTGTCAGCACAGATTTCAACTTAATGAACAAACAAATTTGCCTTCAGGCTTCCTTCAAATCTCTGTAAAATTCTCTTGCTTTTTCCAAAAGTAGCTTGAAACATTAATATATATTTTAATAACTGAATTTAATGATACTAAATTTAATCTCTGCATTTACAGTTGGAAATTGGCTTTAACCGACCTTGAACTGCATGTTCATGTATCCAACCGATTTACTTATTGTATCATTTTCTTTCAAATCTGATACATATCCTGAGATGTTTGTTGTAATCTCTTGGTATAGGATTAATAATTTGACATTAAGTGCAGCATTGATTTCTTTAATGTTGTTTTATTGTAATTTATGGGAACAGTTGCATGTTATTTTAGAATAAGCTGATCTGACTCGAATCAGACCTTGGAATACTGTACCCAATGCTTGACAAATGTTAGACAAACAAGTACTTTGGATTTCTAAAAATAGATCAACCCAATCTATTGTCTAAAAATGAAATAATGTGGTCCAAGTATCAATGTTTATTAAAAGTAACGAGAGGCAGGAAAATGTGACTGCATTTAAATCCGGTTTAAGCCTGGTTTGATACAGTTTCATATGAAGTGGTATTAAGCAGAATCAGTCAGCAGTTTTGTTTGTGCATTTTATCAACCTTCTGCTTTCTTAACTATCCAACTTGACTTGTTTTCAAAGATTTCTCTCCATTCAGCCACAAGGGGCCCCAGGATGGAGATGGGAGGAGTCTAAGATTTACTCAGACGATAGTAACGACTGGAACAGATTGCCAGGATGGGTGGTGGAGGATAGGACGCTGGCCTCATTAAAAAGCAGCTTGATGTTGGGATGAATGTGGTGGGGGTAGTGGGGAGTGGGGGGGGTTGGTGTTCTGGATGGATGAGATCACTTCTTCTTGCTATTTAGATAGACTGACTATTCCCATCATATTTTGGTCTGCTTGCCTCCTGGTTGCTCTTATCCTTTCTGTTTCCCCACCATTTCTTTGTGAATCTCTGTTTGGAGCCAGTCTCGGATCCTGTGCTTCAATATGGGTTAGCAACCATGTTTAGGATTCCTAGATGTTGAATTCTTAACACTGGGTGAGCAGGATAGTAATAATCCTTGCATTTGATATAGCAATTAAGACGTTGCAATTAAAAGTGGGTGATTCTTCTTTAAGCCAGAAGAGCAGGCAGCAGTGATCAACTGCAACCTCCTTGTAGTTAGTTGAAGTGGAATACCAGAAGCCAGAGAACAGGTTAATTATTCATCTCTGCGACTGGAATTTTTAATAATAAATATGTGCATTGGATGTAGTACATTAGATGCCAGGAGGATCTCTCAAAGCTCTTCATAGGATTTTACTACAAAGTGTAGTGACTGTGTGTTTTGTGAGCAAACCTGACAGCCAACTTGCACCCAGCAATGTCCCACAGACACCCATAAAGTGAATGAACATACTTATTTGGTGGATTGTTGGCCAAGACACCAGGAGAAACTGCCTTCACTTTGCGAGGCATTACTGAAGTAATATGGGCAGCAGATGTATGAAAACAACAACAGCTCGCATTTATATAGTGCCCTTCACACGGGTAGTGTCTCAGAGCACTTAAATTTACACAGAAGTAAATAAATTACACAGAAGATTAACATGTTTCGAAACAAAAACAACTGCATAAGTTATAAAAACAGAAGTTGCTGGGAACACTCAGCATGTCAGACAGCATCTATTCTCAACTTCACCATTTTCATCTCGGGGCATAGATTATCAACAGATATCTTTTACAAGCCCACCAACTCCCACAGTTACCTGGACTACACCTCCTCCCATCACGCCACCTGTAAAGACTCCATTCCCTTTTCCCAGTTCCTTCGCCTCTGCTGCATCTGCTCCGACAATGCCACCTTTCACACCAGAGCAACTGAAATGTCTTCCTTTTTCCTCAACCGAACTCAACCCTGAGCTTCCGGTTTCTTGCCACTTCAACTTCCCTTCCACTCGCCCTCCCATCCACTGTGGTAGGCAGGGCCCTTGACCATGTCCACCTTATTTCCCACACCTCTGCCCTCACCTCTTCCCCCTCTTCCCAGAGCCGTGATAGGGTTTCCCTAGTCCTCACCTTCCACTCCATCAGCCTCAACAACCAACAAATAATTCTCCACTATTTCCGGCACCTCCAGCATGATCCAACCACCAAACATATCTTTCCGTCCCCGCCCCTCTCAGCGTTCCAAAGGGACTGGTTCATTCCTCCATCATCACCAACAGTTACTCTCCTCCCCCGGCAGCTTCCTTTGTCAGCGCAGGAGATGCAATACCTGCCCTTTTACCTCCTCCCATACCACTGTCCAGGGTCCCAAACACAGATTTCAAGTGTGACAGCGATTTACGTGTACTACCACCAATGTAATTTGCTGCTGATGAATAAGGTTATGCTTGAAGGCTTAGTTGAGGAAGGACAGGAGGAGGCTCATGTGGAGCACAAACACCGGCATAGGCCAGTTGGGCCCAATGGCCTGTTTCTGTGCTGTATATTCTAATGTATTCTAATGTATGTGGTCTTCTATACATTGAGCAGACCAAATGCAGATTGGGTGATCGACTTGCTGAACACCTCCGTTCTGTCCGCAAGCACAACCTGAGCTTCCAGTTTCTTGCCACTTCAACTCTCCCTCCCACTCGCACTCTGACCTCTCCATCCACGGTCTCCTACGCTGTTCCAATGATCCACAGTTCAAGCTCAAGGAACAGCATCTCATTTATCTGCTAGGGACCTTACAGCCCTCTGGCCTAAATATTGATTTCAACAATTTCAGACCATAACAGCTCACCTTCCCCCTCCCCCTTTTCTGTGACCATTACCACGTTATCTGGGTCCCAGACACACCCCTTCTCTCTCTGGTCTGCCTGTTTGTCGTAATTTCCCCCCACCTTTATACTGCATCATTAGCACCTCTTTAAGCCATCATGCCCTGTCCTCTACCCCATTTTCTCCTTTGTCTTCCTTGCCCTGCCCCCCCCTCACTCTGTTAGCGCTTGAAAGCCACTCCCGCCCAACATGCCCCAGTTCTAATGAAGGGTCGTGGACCTGAAACGTGAACTCACTTTTCTTTCTCCATAGATGCTGCCTGACTTGCTGAGTGTTCCCAGCAACTTCTGTTTTTGTTTCAGATTTCCAGCATCTGCAGTATTTTGTGTCCAGTTCTAACCATCCTGTCTCTTCTTTTTCCCCAGATGTGTGCAATAGTACAGATCTTCCAGAAGTCGAAATCATCAGTCTGCTGGAAGAAAAACTGCCTCATTACACACTGAGAGCTGATACAATTTATGGTTATGATCACGACGACTGGCTTCACACCCCTCTTATTTCTCCCGATACTAATATCGATCTCACCAATGAACAAATCGAGGAGACACTAAAGTATATGCGTGAGTACCAACAGTATTTAATCAGTATCTAAACAGTATTGAGTACTTGAGTATTTAAACCTGGAGGAAGCGTCTCTGTTAAGGGTCGGGAAGAGGGGTGTCCACCAAGGTTTTGGAAAAGATTAAAAAATGAAGTCCACAATTAACTTTATAAGTAGAGCCAGGAGATGAAGTCTCAATTCTTGTGCAGGGCAGGGAGAGCATGTTCAGCACAATATCTGTTTTTAGGAGATTACAATTATTTCATTGGGCATCTTTACAGTGTTCAACTATTGTTCCACACTGGGAAAGTTAAACATTTCAAAAATGGATTGTGTTTGCAACAGAATAACTAAAAATTGTATTCAAGGAGATTCCCTCACTCCCCTCCTGTATCATTTTTATCCTCTCCCATTGCAGTAGCTAATCCACGTGAAGGATTCCACATAAAAACAAGTTGTTTTGTTGAAGTAGCTGAACTGGGGTGAGGTGGAATGGGTGCTGGCAGCCCTCCAGTGGCAATGTTTAATGTGCAGGAGCTTAGATAGCCAGTGGTGTTTGCAGGTTATTTAACTGCAAAGGCAACACATTCACACTTGATCTGTCCTCACCCAGTGTCAGTGCATTTCTGGTATTGGGCATTTTTCCAAGGGGTAAAGCCCAACAGCCAATGGTGGGGTGGGGGACATGAAGCAGGCTGCTGCCCAATAAGCAAAGAGAATGACCAGGTTGGTACGGTTCAAACAGGCAGCGTCAACAAATGCATCTACCTCCTGAGGCATTGTAAACATTCATGAATGCGACAGACGAAAACTTCTGAATTGGGATAAAAGTAATACAATGCGTGTTATTGTGAGATAATATGGTGAAAACTATGTCTGTGGTTGTGAACTGATTGTGAAGCTATGCACACTAGATGGCAGGATTGCTGGTGTGAAAAATTATTCTTGGTCTAATGTATACTGCTCTTAAATCGCAGCAATGTTTGTTCAAGTCAAACATAGAAGTAAGTGTTCCCAAATATATGGCAAATATACTGCTGGAATGAAGCATTATTTTTAAAGGGCAGTTTAAAAATAAAACACTGACTGTTCAGCGACCTGGAACGTCCTCCCGACGTGAAAGGCTCCATACAAATGTAATTTTATTGTTGTAACAAGCCTGCAAAGATGGTTACCTGAAAGGCGCACAGCCACTGGGAAAGCCTGTAATTCTTAGCTTTACACGTCAAGCCATTCTGCTGTCTGGTTGAGTGTCTAACACTTCTTGTTGCCTGGTGCTGAACATTTGTTATTTTTACCCATGGAGTTGCGCTGTCCAAAATTTCCCTTTGTAATAAACTGTTCTGAGACAGAGTGGGAGCGGCAGGCACCACTCCCAGACCTCCTCCAGTATCCAGCTGTAACCAAGCTACATTGGAAAGAGCAGGTTGACTCAGACACTGATAATGTTTTGGCCTCTGTTTGCTCAATGACTCCCTCTGATAATCCTGACTGCTTGTCCAGCAATCCATGGTGTGTTACACTGATAAAACCATTTGCTATGCTTCTGATTCATTGATTTACCCCCCGCCCCCAAACTCAGGGGCTCTGAGGCCTAATTGTATATTCCCATCGTAGGACGAGTAGACCATTAGACACTTTGCCTGCCTATAAGTTTCATTCAGCATGGGAAATGTTTAAATCTCATTTCCTGCCTTTTCTCCATATCTGGTAATTACTATTTTTAAACTTTTATCTCAGGATGGTCCAAGCTTTTGGGTGTCGCGGGCCGGATGCTACATTGGAGAAATGTCCGCTGGCTGCATAAACAATATTGTGTATTTTCCCCTTCCAGAAACATAAAAGAATCATACAGAAACCTAAAAAAAAATTGTTTGGCTGTATTGCTTAATAATAATCATCTCAAATGGAAATATATGCACCAATTATTTTAATGTATTAAAGTCAAAATACAGGTTATCAACTTAACATATGGAGGCCCCTACAGAAAATGCTCAACAAAACCAAAACAGATTAACAACAACAACAACAAAATTACGTTTGTATAGAGCCTTTTACGTCAGGAAGACGTCCCAAGGCGCTGGACAGTCATAGTTTAGACCCCAGTTGGGGGTCAGGATTGGGTGGGGTGGAGTGCAGTCGAAAGCACAGTCGAAAAGGAGGGTCTTGAGATGGGTCTTGAAGGAGACAAGGGAGGGGGCGAGGTGGAGGGACTGCGGGATGGAGTGGGGGCAGAGTGGCAGAAGGCCCACCCGCGAGGCGAGCGAGGGCGTGAAGCAGGCTGGAGCCCGCTGAGTGGAGGGAGTGAGCAGGATGGTAGGGGATTAGGACGTCACAGAGGTAGGGGGGAGCAAGACCATGGAGGGCTTTGAAGGCGAGAACCAGGATCTTGAACTGTATCCTCTGTGTGATGGGAAGCCATTGGAGTCGGGTGAGAATGGGGGTGATAGGGTCACGGAGCCTGGTGCGGGAGAGGACACGGGCTCATTATTAATTCATTATTGCAAAACTAACTCTGAACTTTAACACAGATATGACTTGCAAGCAAACAAGGCACTGGGGTTTTTCATTACTGTCAATAAGCAAGTAATCAATCCACTTACACTGAAATCCTCTAGTTTTCATATCTACCTTGTGTTTCCTGCTGAGACTCATAGTTCTGCAGTTTTAGAATTATAAGATACTCCTGCTGCTGCATCTCACCAGGTTCCATGAGGCTCGAGGTAGCGAGAGAGGATATCTCTCACTCCTCCCCTCCTCCCGTCACTCTCCACGTTGCCTCATGGAAACCGACCAGAAGAGAGGTACAGCTAGGAGGTGAAGTTGGGTCTGACAGGATCATCCGGGGGCTCGTTGTGGCCCCTGGGCTGCCTGTTGGACCTTTGGACCACCCTGTTTTAGGTCAAGCAAAGAGGTTTAGCTCTCTGTCTCCCTCCATCCCGCAGTTCCTCCGCCTCAAGTAGATGATCATGCAGGACTTTACAGCTGAGCTGACCGCATCTTTATCCAACATTCTTATAGAGGTGTATAAAATTTCAAATGTGATTGAAAAAGTAACACTAAAGTAACAGCAGAATAGTTTAGGATGCATCAAAACAGTAAAACAAAAGGACATAGGTTTAGAGTTGCAAAGGGCAATTTCGGGACAGCAGGAGGAAGAACGTTTTTTACCCAGAGAGTAACTAACAACTGGAACACGGTGCTAGGAAGAATGGTTGAGGCCAGGGCGCTAGATTTATTTAAAAAGCAGCTTGATGCTGTGCTGGGGGGAACGATTGGGTGGGTGTGCTGGAGGGAAGAGATCAGGTGGGTTAAAGGACCTTCTTCATTCAAATTGATCTTGTCGTCAACACACTTTTTCTGACAGCCCTCACTGCAACTGGGGAAACTCCATATTGATTTATTTTCCCCTTCTCTCCTCAACCCCATTTCATCCCCCCACCCCAGGATTACGAAGCCAGCTGTAGTGGCTATGCAGCCATCTGGATGAGCTGACTCAAGACAGAAATGCACCACGTTTAGTGATCACCTGCTGTTATTCCCAATTAAATGGCTGATGTGAACCTTTCATAGCACATTTGTCAGGCAGTCACTTCAGATGGAATGTAATGATGGCAGAGGTGATTGAAGAGGTTGCCAGTTTTCAATAAGAAAATACTGTGTGGCAGGAGCCGTGCTTGTTTGCATGTCTCTGTCTTTTGTTCCAGGTAATTGTGAAATTGGCTGACTTCTACGAACCTCTGATCAAGGAGTGGCTGATTTCAAGCATTCCATCTCACTGCACAGCATAAAGTGTCAATATTTAAATGGTTGGGCTCCCAACATGTTCCAAGGTAACCCCACACCTCAGTTCACATTCATCTGCCGATACAGCTCCAATCAGCTTCCTGATCACAGAATTACAAATAGTATTACAACTCAGTCAGATTAAAATCTGTATTCTTCCTTTACTCCACAAAAACAGGAGTTTATGTGCCTTACATGTGGGCTAAGAAAAATTAAAGATTTAAGAAGTCTATTAATGGAGTTCGTGCCAACATCTATATGGGTTTAATAAGGCCTGTGTGTCAATATGTAATTTTGTTTGGATATATTTCCTTTTCGTCTGCTTTATGTGACCAGATCTACAGATCGTGGTATTAGCCCACAAAGTACACAGTCACTACACGTTACAGTATATTCAGCGCTTTGAGATGTATTAATGATATGATGAGGCGGTGTATCAAATGCAAGGAATATTATTATTGTTCTGAAAGTTTCTCTGAACCCAGAGGCATGACTCAAGTATATTCACGTTAGTTATATTAGCAACATGGTAGGTTGAAGAAAATCATTTATATACAGGTTAGGTAAGTTTTAAAATGTTACTTCCTGTTGCTTCATTGCCATTTTGTAAAAAAAAATCCATTTGTCAAAACTGCTTTGCTAAATTCTAATATAGATTTTCTTTATTGTTCCAACATAGATGTATCCAGATTAGATGTCAATTCATATGTACCAACTTGGATGTTCAGGCATAATATGTCCACCCACACAAGGAAGTTATTTCCCACATGAAAGAAAACGATTCCTTTGTTTTGATGGCTAACCTGGTCTCATTTAATCTTGAGCTACAGTAGGAAGGTGAGATAAGTAGGAAGTGAATTGATTAAAGAGTTGCAGGGCTTCTTGTATACTCTTACAGCAAAATATGGCAGTGAATTGAAGCTCAGTGAAGTAGAGTCACCTGGTAAAACATTAATTGCTGTGCTGATATATGTAGTTGGCATTCATGCAATTATTGATTTGTGACTGTGTTTGTGTTCAAGCTAGATTAATCATACTGCATTACTTTCCATTGATAACTAGGGTTTACACAAACCTGGAACTTGTTTAAGTGGCTCTGAGCAAAACTAAAAGTTTTTTCTCTCCACTTTCTCCTCCACCTCCCCCCAACCTCCCACCAATATACATTGTTGGTTTTAAAAGTGTGTCAGCTGGCTCTGTGCAAGCACTCTCGCCTGAATCAGAAGGTTGGAG